GACTCCTGTTAGTGCCAGAGTCAGAACTAAACATGGGGAGGCTGCTTTTCAGATTCATGCTGCTAAAATCTGGAACAATCTTCCTGAAGATGTGAGACAGGCCTCCTCTCTGACAATGTTTAAAAACAGGTTAAAGACAGTTCTGTTTAGCTGTGCATACAACTGAGGGATTTTATACTTTCAGCTTTCTTTTTAAAGTTCTGTGATTATTTATGATTTTAATGCTTTCTTGTTTTGTTCAGCACTTTGAATTGCCTTGTGTATGAATTGTGCTATATAAATAAACTTTCCTTGCCTTGCCTTGCCTATCACCAGAATGATTATCAATTATAGGAGGCCAAAAGTTTAGATGATCCACCCGGAAGAAGAAAATCAGAATGAAAGAGCCCCATACTATAGGTAGAAACAATGCTTTCTCCTTTCTAACTTATTTTTAAATGAATTTCTGAAAATTCAGACTTAAAATGTGAAACCAATACAGTATATGATCTCGGCCTTTTACCTGCAAAGTGACAAATACCGAGCTTTTGTTTGTTGTCATTTTGATGATTATAGCTTACAGTTAAAAAAAATAGATAAAGGCTTAATATATCTCACTCTGCATGTGATGAGTCGGCCATTTTTTAGTTTTGTTAGTTGAATTATAGGAGTGTCTGGACTTTTGATCCGTGTGTTTGATGCTTGTGTGGATAGATTTTGGGAGAGGGATCAATCACGTGGCGAGATGAAGGAGGACCCAAGAAGCAGGAATGCAGAAAGTAATGATTAAATGAGGAGGATAAAATAAAAGTCCAAGATAAAAACAAATTCAAAATCCAAACAGAACCAGGAACATAGACAGACTTGAACAGACACAGGTGACACACATGAGGGCGGGGCAGACAGGACAGGAAGTCAAGCTAAACTAAAACCGCAAGTAAAAGAAGTCAAAATAAAACAACCCAAAATCAACGACAGGGTCAGCAGTGAGACAGTGAAAATAGTGAGTGAAAAGTGTTGGAGGAGTCACGATAGACTTTTGTCCTGGGATTAATCAGTTCATACAGAGACACAAGCTGAAGGTTTGACACACATAAAGAAGAAGCAGATCCGATAGTGGAGCTGTTGGTACGTGTTTCTGACCATGCAGCTCCCTCTTGTTCCTACAGCGCTGCGAGGAAACTTCCATGACTGGTTAAGTTGTATTTAAAATAGTTCTGCGGAAACATCTTTCCCAAACGTGTTTAAAAGTCACTTCCCCTGCGCTCTCTCGCTCTCTACGTCTCCGCAGAGGGGCAAGGGCGTGGCCTCGGCTCAGAGCGAGGCAGATGGAACCGTCCGCTCTCGGTCACCTGCAGATCGTGAGAAAAGCTTGCATCATAACGTCGTCCACTGATCATGTTTTGAATAATAAGTTAACTTTGCTTCCATCAGGACGACGTTATGTTACAGCATATTGTTAAATCTATTGTCCCAACTGGTTTTAGTCTGAACTATCTGTTGGTGAAATGGACTTTGGCTTTTATTGTTGTGTTATGTTCATATGTTTGTATGGGCTCCACTTCATATCATATCGCTAATGTTACTGTCTGACATTTCCTGTGTTTTTACGTGTTTGTAAGTTTTTTTGAATGTTTTTTTAAGCCCTGTGCTCAAACAAATTGCCCCTGGTGGGATAAAAAAAGTAGTCTGAATCTGAATCTGAGAATGCATATTCCTGCATCCTTTACGCTGATCATGATCAAAACCAAAATGTGCTTTTCGGGAGTTCCTTGAACATTTACAGACAAAATATTCCAATAAACTTTTGTGTTATGGTGAAAACTAACAAACTAACGAACCGACAGTAGCAGAAACGGGGAATAACTCATTCAAATGGAATGAGTCATGGGAAATCCTAACCTAGAATAAACAACAGAACCATATTGATGAGATGCAAACAAAGCTCTGCTCCTCCATCCTGACCTACATAATGCTCTCTCTCAACACTCATAGTTTTCTGTGTATAGTCTAAGTTTTTTTATAAGCCTGGGGCATCCATTCAAAGTGAGTCTTTTGTAACATCTTCTGATCCTGAACGTGAATGGAGAAACATGGAGCTGGTGGATGAGAGCAGGTGTCATTCACATGCAGCTACAGTCTGCAGAGGTCTGTCTGATGATTGATGGCGGTCACTACCTGTATCAAAGCTGGACTCTGCCAGCCAGGATATTTTATTTGATAATGTTTTAAATGTTAGGATAAGAGTAAAAGGTGCCCTTGATGTTTAATCCAACAGGTGTTCATGGACGGCTCAGTGCCTCCTCAGAGAAATAGAGTTAGGTGTGTTGCCTGAGTGCTTTATAGTGGTGCTGAGGAGTAAAGAGGAGATAGGGAGGTGTAACACTGTGGAGACAGAATCAATCCGCTGCATAGATTGTGCATACTAAAATAGTCTAGGCCACACAGACAAGAGATTTAAGAAAGCTGTAAACATTGATAGTAAAAAGAGGCATGATGTAGATGATTTATTACCATTTACCAAAATCATCTTTTTAGACTGTATCTACTTTGCAGTTAGTTGCAAGTTGAAAGTAAGTGACACAGTGCATTGTGGGCTTTGTGAGTCTCTGAGGACCCCAGGGTAGTGTGGGCTCACTCTCTGATCCGCTGCGATCTGCTCTATTGATTTCATACTTTGTCTCATGTCCTAACTTCCCCTGTCCCAGCTGATTTAGTCTGTCTCGACGTGCCGCCTCTTCACTGGCCCTGGTGCTGCTGCGTTGCAAATATAAATTTTAGAGAAGCTTGACTTTCACGCGGCCATTGTTGCTTAGCAACTGCTTTCATTGACCAGGGTGCTGTCTGCTGTTTGTCTGGGCCACTTTAAACAATGGTGCAGAAAAGTTTGTACAAATGAAGTTGTGTCATAAATCAGCAGCATTTCATTCATAGCATCAGCAGTGTCCAACAGGACTGTGGGAGTCTGTTGGCCCTCTGTCTGAGGATGGAGCCCAGATGCGCCTTGGCTGCTGCTACGACATTGGAACTAATTCTGCAATGTTATACATGAAAAATCATTCAAAAACACCACCGTGGCCAAAAGCCTGCTGTTACAAAATCTTAACAAAACAGCTCAGTATTTGGAGAGTCCCTGGAATGATACAATATATTAACATCTTAATAAAACCAAAAATAACTAAAGCCTCACCGTGTAACTTTGGGAATATCTCTGGTCACTATCCCCTTTTCAGTTTCCATTTTTTCTGCTGCTGTTAAATGCAGAATGATGTTCTTTCACGTCTTAGCGGCGGCACGAGGAGGATGTTGTTGAGGTATTGGTTCTACTGCTGAGGGTCGCGTGTGTCGTGTTGTAAAGTTCAACTGCCCCCTACTGGCCAGGCACTAGAACTACATTGCATTCCATCGTGGTGTAGACGCTGTGCACTTTGAATACGGAGCCTGGTCATTATTGGTAATTGCTTTGCAGCCTTTCTGTAGCGTCTCTGTCTAAACGGGGCCTCAGATTGAGCTCCTCCCATCGGGCCGCCGCTACAGAGTACCACGTAAAAATAAGAAAAGATACCTCGGTAGACAAACTCGTTCCTCAGAGCTGTGAGGGTTTATGTCTGTGTTACTGTGTTGTGTTTTTCGTCTGTCTTATGTGTATTTTCAATGTAGCGCCTGTGAGTCCAAAACAAATTTCCTACGGGACATATAACATTATTCTTGAATTTTGAATCTTGATATACATAAAGAAGACTTACTTATCCACATCTTCTTGTCTGAGTCCTTCTAGATTGAATTGCCCTTTTGACAGCAACACATCAGCATGATTAAAGGCATTCGTCTTGTCTCAAAGGAAAGGCTATATAACATGTAAACCACTTCCTCAGCTGTGATTTATAACCAGTGGCATCCATACATAACTAAAGGCTAGACTCTGTTTGGGGGAGAAGATTTTTTTAATTGAAATTGCTGCTTAATTACTGTCCCAAAACAGTTTATGGAAGTAATCAGTGGATGACAGATCGCAATTTGACTGCAGAGTAATTGCTGCGCATAAATGAATGGTTGTGATTTTCCAAACGGGAGGAGGACTAATATGTTTTTATATTTTACAACCGCACTTTGGAAATAAATGTTGGGTTCCTTGCAGATGCAGGAGGGTCTGAGGCAGACATGTCAAACTTGTCTAGCTTGTGGGCCAAATCCATCTCGCAAGACAATTTCTAATGGCCCATAAAATGATAACATACCTTGGAAGTAATGTTATACATGCCTGTTATACATCATTTTATTTTTTATTTTATCGGGAAAGCAACCAAAGTAAATGTATTCTATAATTTAATTCACTACATAATTAACTATTTAACTATTTGTGTTTAACCATTTGGTCCAGTTTTGGTTATATAAAAATAAAGAACACATTTTGTTTTTCAGAAAAATCAACCAGATAACAAGTTAAACTAATGTCATCTCAAAAAACCTTCATAATAATAAAAAAAAAAATTAAAGAAAAGGAAATCACTTCTATTCTTATGGACGTTGGTAAAGGTGCACTTTATTAATCCCCGTACGGCAATTCAATCTTCTGCATTTGACCCATCCTGATGCTGCTAAGGCTTACGTCAGGAGCAGTGGTCGCCGTAGTAACAGCGCCCGGGAACCCATCTCCAGTTGTTGATGCTCGGCTTAGTCAGGACTCCCAGAGCTGGAGGATTTAACCTAGTGAGCATGTTTTTAGTAGTAGGGGAAACCTACTGCACGGGGAGATCAAGAAAACTCCACTCAGAAAGACCCTGTTCCGACTGGGATTCGAACCCAGTTTTGTAAAGTCCTCCGGGATAATTACTGTTGGGATTTAAGGCTATACAAGAATAAATTGAATCGAATTGAAAATATAACCAAATTTGATGCAACTATTGACATCTTTTGGCCCTCAACAGTTGTTCATGAAAAACACATTATCGTTCTAAATGGAGGTTTATTATATTATTTTGTTGTTTTTTTTAGGGGAATTGTGGCGTCTGGAGGATGACATGGAGGTGGAAGACTCGTCGGATAAGAGGGGCCCCACACAGGAGCACAGGCCCCGGTCCCAGTCCCCGTTCTCCCACTTCCGGAGCAGAGCGGCGTACCTGCGGAAGAGCGTCTCCGCCGACGACCACCTGGACATCGGCTCGGAGCCCTCGGTGGGAGCGGCGACGGAGAGGAAGACCGGACGCACCAAGGGCAAACTCAAGAGGAAGTTTGTGAGTGATTACTGTTGCTACTTCTCGTGTTCACAGCAGAAGTTACGTTAACATCATCGTGAACAAAAGAATGAGTTATAATTGCCAATCAAATGGTTTGTTCTGTATACACGTGGAGGATGTGTGAGCCCTGGATTGTGATTGGTTGGGTCTGTCTATTGTTAGAGTCAGCAGAGTTGTCCAAAACAGATATTAACCCTCTCCAGGCAGGCGTTGTAGATTTGCAACAACTCAATTTTTTATTAACTAGCTACTCTACATCCATATTTTTGACCATTTTACTCGGAAGTACCACTGCTGGACTTAGTTGAGCTTTAGCAACGCACAGTTTTTCATTTAGAATTATTTGACCGCTGAGAGAGTTAATGAGGGCTTAATGTTTTGTTGGAATTTGTTATTGATTTGTATTTCAGTCATTCAAATCAAAGGCCATGGTTCTCAGGTGGTGGTGGAGGTCCTTCCACAGAGGGAGGATGTCAAGTATCAGACTGTTGTGGTGAAGAGGGAGCAGCGTCTGCAGTCAGAGCTGTATCAGATGTATATATAGAGAGAGATGGTGAAGAATGGGGGCTGGTTGGTTTTTCTATAACTTGACTAACTTGACTGATTAAACTGTATTTCCTGCTTGATGTATGTACAGTATCCATCCACTTTTGTTTTACTGTTTTACAACAACCTGCTCAGGGACTACAGGTGTAATTTAGCACTGCTGCTGCTACAACCTGGTACAAATTATCTCTCCTCTTGGATAATTTTTATTGTACACTGGACCTGTAAAAACAAAAATCATACCATACCATTGTGGTGAAGAGGGAGCAGCGTCTGCAATCAGAGCTGTATCTGACTGTTATGGTGAGGATGGTGGCTGGGCGCTCCCTTAGAGATTGGGTTAGGGGGTCAGTTATTTGGGAGGAACTCGGAGTAGAGCCACTGCTTCCTGGACATCTCCCTGGAGAGGTTTTCCAGACATGTCGCCCCAGGATGAGACCAGGGTAAGACAATATTACCCAGAGTCTCTGCTTAGACCGCTGCCTCCACAACCAATGACAAAACAAGTTAATGGATGGACTTTAACTTTCAGCCCTTTGTCTATAATTACAGTGCCTTGCGAAAGTATTCGGCCCCCTTGAACCTTTCAACATTTCGCCACATTTCAGGCTTCAAACATAAAGATATAAAATTTTAATTTTTTGTCATGAATCAACAACAAGTGGGACACAATCGTGAAGTGGAACGAAATGTATTGGATAATTTAAACTTTTTTAACAAATAAAAAACTGAAAAGTGGGGTGTGCAATATTATTCGGCCCCTTTACTTTCAGTGCAACAAACTCACTCCAGAAGTTCAGTGAGGATCTTTGAATGTTCCAATGTTGTCCTAAATGACTGATGATGATAAATAGAATGCACCTGTGTGTAATCAAGTCTCCGTATAAATGCACCTGCTCTTTGATAGTCTCAGGGTTCTGTTTAAAGCACAGAGAGAACCATGAAGACAAAGGAACACACCAGGCAGGTCCGAGATACTGTTGTGGAGAAGTTTAAAGCCGGATTTGGAGACAAAAAGATTTCCCAAGCTTTAAACATCTTAAGGAGCACTGTGCAAGCAATTATATTGAAATGGAAGGAGTATCAGACCGCTGCAAATCTACCAAGACCCGGCCGTCCCTCCAAACTTTCATCTCAAACAAGGAGAAGACTGATCAGAGATGCAGACAAGAGGCCCATGATCACTCTGGATGAACTGCAGATAACTACAGCTGAGGTGGGAGAGTCTGTCCATAAGACAACAATCAGTCGTGCACTGCAAAAATCTGGCCTTTATGGAAGAGTGGCAAGAAGAAAGCCATTTCTCAAAGATATCCATAAAAAGTCTTGTTTAAAGTTTGCCACAAGCCACCTGGGAGACACACCAAACATGTGGACGAAGGTGCTCTGGTCAGATGAAACCAAAATCGAACTTTTTGGCCACAATGCAAAACGATATGTTTGGCGTAAAAGCAACACAGCTCATCACCCTGAACACACCATCCCCACTGTCAAACATGGTGGTGGCAGCATCATGCTTTGGGCCTGCTTTTCTTCAGCAGGGACAGGGAAGATGGCTAAAATTGTTGGGAAGATGGAAGGAGCCAAATACAGGACCATTCTGGAAGAAAACCTGTTGGAGTCTGCAAAAGACCTGAGACTGGGCCGGAGATTTATCTTCCAACAGGACAATGATCCAAAACATAAAACCAAATCTACAATGGAATGGTTCACAAATAGACGTATCCAGGTGTTAGAATGGCCAAGTCAAAGTCCAGACCTGAATCCAATCGAGAATCTGTGGAAAGAGCTGAAGACTGCTGTTCACAAACGCTCTCCATCCAACCTCACTGAGCTCGAGCGGTTTTGCAAGGAAGAATGGGTAAGAATTCCAGTCTCTCGATGTGCAAAACTGATAGAGACATACCCCAAGCGACTTGCAGCTGTAATTGCAGCAAAAGGTGGCGCTACAAAGTCTTAGCGCAAGGGGGCCGAATAATATTGCACGCCCCACTTTTTAGTTTTTTATTTGTTAAAAAAGTTTAAATTATCCTATAAATTTTGTTCCACTTCACGATTGTGTCCCACTTGTTGTTGATTCTTGACAAAAAATTTAATTTTTATATCTTTATGTTTGAAGCCTGAAATGTGGCGAAATGTTAAAATAATATATAGTGCCTTGCGAATACTTTCGCAAGGCACTGTATGTAGTTAATTCCATTATCTCTCTTTTCTTGTGCTTTTCATTTTCCAATTCTGCATATTTTATTAACAAAATGCAAATCAGGCACATTTAAATTAGGCCGCTTTGTCAATCAATTTCCTCTGGCCCTTAGCGAGCAATAAGATCCTATTTTTACCCAACCCCCATGCCATTCACCGCAGTTCAATGATGATGCCTCGATTTGAATGTAATAATTTTTCTCGGCAACATTTACACTTTCAATTCATCAATTCATGTGTCGCATTGGATATTCAGGTGTTTGCTGAGGCCAAACATGAGAGCTGCCTTTTAGTGAACACGTATGAAATATTTATTACGGGGCCCAATATTGTCTGTCGGTCCCAGGCTGTAACCAGATCTCTCATTACCAGTTTAAGCTGTGTAATTGGGAGTCGTGTTTCTAGTGTGTGCAATGGGACACCAGTAGACTTCATAATGGCTTAAAAACTCCATGTCGTTGGATACAATAGGTGCACATTTCGGAAAGTCTTCTTGGATCTACCTTGAGCGAAATCGGGACAACCTTTAGTGGCATGAAAAGAAGCAGTTTTCGTCAAGACGATGGGGAAAGCTCTGGATCTAATGACCTGCCGCGTGTGCTTTGGGGTAAGAGCTTCAGCATTAGTTCATCCAATTAAAATCCCACGACTTTACTGCACAAGTTTACTCGCTAAGACTTGTGTAGCATTTGTGTGAGTCAGATCCAGCAGCTTCCTCTGGGACTGACGCTCGAGCACGGAGATGGAAAACACGGAGAAATAAACATATATATTCAAATGTATCCCAGAAGTGGGTTATGTAAAGCTGCAGTTTCTCTAAATCTTGTCGGCTTGTTGTTTTTGGGATGTCTTGGAAAAACTCATTTGTCTTGTTTCTCTCCCCGTCGGTGTTTTGTGTTGTCGGAATTACTGTGTATATGTCTTTGAAGCCCGGATAGAAAATGAAACGCATGATAAATATGAATATGTGCGGGTCTGGATTCCTGCACCGGCAAATGGTGGTCATGTCGGATTGTTTTTAACTCAAGTGTCAAACAGAGAGAGCAGAAAAACAATGGAGGATTATGCAGAGATGCCGACAGAATGTGCGCAAACAAATGTGACAGAGATGTGACTTCGGGGAAATATGCCCAAAATGGTTTGAGAAAGAATTCATTGTCATTGTGGGGAAAAGTTTGTATTTTTGCCTCTATAGGATAATAGAAGATGTGGGTTTTAAGAGATTTTATGAAAGCCTTAGTAGTCTTGAGATATCCAGGTTGGTTGCTGCCTTAATTTATTGAATTTGCAAGTAAGTTGGTAGGTAGGTAAGTAAGTAAGAAAGTAAATAAGTAGGTAGGTTAGTAAGTAAGTAAGTAATCTTTATTTATATACCGCCTTTCACAAAGCGATTTACAATTGTTATTTTTGGGCACTTGTCCTCTCACTCCACACAGAGATGGGAGGGGCCAGTACAGGAGGCGCATGCCAGAGCTATTGTACATATTTTTAGTGGTAGGGGAAACCGGAGTACCCGGAGGAAACCTACGCAGACACGGGGAGAACATGCAAACTCCACTCAGAAAGGCCCTGGTCCGACCGGGATTCAAACCCAGGACCTTCTTAAGTAAGTAGGTTCGTAGGTAGGTAAGTAAGTAGGTAAGTTGGTAAGTAGGTACGTACGTAGGTAGGTAGAGAGGTATGTTAGTTAACTCATTGACTGCCAGCCGTTTTTGATGATTTCACTGATTTTCAAGGCCCACAGAATATTGTGTGCTATGACTATGTAAAATTTGAAACCAGATTCTGAAAGACTGAATTGTCTACTTTCATCAGCAAAAATAAGTTTGTTTCTTGCTAGTTTGGTTCTCCTGTAATCCTCCGTCGAATAGAGAGAAGTTTGACAGAAATCACCAACGTCAATGGCAGTCAGAGAGTTAAGTAGGTAGGTACTTAACACTAGAAAAACCCAACCGAAATTGGCCCCTGTTTTGAGAACAGGGAGCTAACTTGCTAGGTTGGCTGCTAACATTTGCATGTATTGATTTGCAAATGTAGGTAATGACTTATAACAGCAGGGGGCTGGGGTGGGCTTTGTTTATTCGTGTGGGGGAGGGAGAGCTGCAAAGCAGAAGAGATGCCATGGCAGTGCTGTGTACCCTGAGAATGCGCTGTATATATATGTTGTAATCAGTTTTTCTCTGTCTTTGGTGCATTTTTCACATAATTCTTCACATTTTAACAACAGTTAGTGCATTTCTCAGAACAATGAGTGCAAAACTGCAAAACCTCATGGATAACCTGCGAAAAAGTCACTTTCTCAAAATGAACTTAATTCCTCAAAAGAAAGTCTTCATGTCAATGAAACGGTCTGTGTCTGTGTCCTGACATCAGTGTTTATGAACAACAGTCAAATGATTTAGTCATGTTTTCATTGTGACTGTATTTAGTGATACATATGTATGTACTGTATGTTCACATATTTACTGCTTATGCTCTTTGCAATTCTACAGCATTCTGCAACAAAAATAGTACACATACAGTATTTACGTAGAAAAACATACAAAAAATCATTACGGTAGAACCTCCACAACATTGAGTCGTGTGTGACATCATCGCGGCAGTTTCTCCTTTGAACACTTTACAAATGCTTTTGGACATGTATCAGTTACTTTCATACAGTTCTCTGCTGTTTTATAACATTAACATTTGCTTCTGTCCTGTCAATCAGAATGAAACATACTTTTCACGACTGAATAGTTTCTGTAAAACCAGTAGTCCTCATTTCATCGCTTTGGTCATCACATACAAAACTGTAAGGTGAACAATTTTGAGTTGTCGTTTTTACAGTTCACCGAGCTCTCTCTCTCTCTCTCTGCTCACGCCTCTCTCTCTCTGCTCGCGTCTCTCTCTTTCTGCTCACGTCTCTCTCTCTCTGCTCGCGTCTCTCTCTGCTCACGTCTCTCTCTGCTCACGTCTCTCTCTTTCTGCTCACGTCTCTCTCTCTCTGCTCACGTCTCTCTCTGCTCACGTCTCTCTCTGCTCACCTCTCACTCTCTCTCTCTGCTCACCTCTCTCTCTCTCTCTGCTCACGCCTCTCTCTCTCTGCTCGCGTCTCTCTCTTTCAGCTCACGTCTCTCTCTCTCTGCTCGCGTCTCTCTCTGCTCACGTCTCTCTCTGCTCACGTCTCTCTCTCTCTGCTCACGTCTCTCTCTCTCTGCTCACGTCTCTCTCTCTCTGCTCACGTCTCTCTCTGCTCGCGTCTCTCTCTCTCTGCTCTCTCTCTCTGCTCGCGTCTCTCTCTCTCTGCTCACGTCTCTCTCTCTCTCTGCTCGCGTCTCTCTCTCTCTGCTCGCGTCTCTCTCTCTCTGCTCACGTCTCTCTCTCTCTCTCTGCTCTGCTCACGCTCTCTCTCTCTGCTCGCGTCTCTCTCTCTCGCTGCTCTCTCTCTCTCTCTCTCTCTCTGCTCGCGTCTCTCTCTCTGCTCACGTCTATCTCTCTCTGCTGCGCGTCTCTCTCTCTCTGCTCTCTCTCTCTGCTCGTGTCTCTCTCTGCTCACCTCTCTCTCTCTCTCTCTCTCACGCCTCTCTCTCTCTCTCTCTCGCGTCTCTCTCTTTCTGCTCACGTCTCTCTCTCTCTGCTCGCGTCTCTCTCTGCTCACGTCTCTCTCTTTCTGCTCACGTCTCTCTCTCTCTGCTCACGTCTCTCTCTGCTCACGTCTCTCTCTGCTCACCTCTCTCTCTCTGCTCACCTCTCTCTCTCTCTCTCTGCTCACGCCTCTCTCTCTCTGCTCGCGTCTCTCTCTTTCAGCTCACGTCTCTCTCTCTCTGCTCACGTCTCTCTCTCTCTGCTCGCGTCTCTCTCTGCTCACGTCTCTCTCTGCTCACGTCTCTCTCTCTCTGCTCACGTCTCTCTCTCTCTGCTCACGTCTCTCTCTCTCTGCTCACGTCTCTCTCTGCTCGCGTCTCTCTCTCTCTGCTCTCTCTCTCTGCTCGCGTCTCTCTCTCTCTGCTCGCGTCTCTCTCTCTCTGCTCGCGTCTCTCTCTCTCTGCTCACGTCTCTCTCTGCTCACCTCTCTCTCTCTCTCTCTGCTCACGTCTCTCTCTCTCTGCTCACGTCTCTCTCTGCTCGCGTCTCTCTCTCTCTGCTCACCTCTCTCTCTCTCTCTCTGCTCGCGACAGTAATCTGAACTTAAAAAAGTAAGTTTTTACAGACTTGAAATTTCCAGTAACTTGAATTTAAACACTTAGTTGGCAGAACTTGGGAAAACTTAACTGACACAACTTAATAAGTGTAGTTCTTCAAAACTTGAAGAATTAAGTTAATGCCTTCAACTCAAAAATCCTTCGCAGCTGGTTGCTTTGAAATTTTGAGTTGAACTAACTTTATCTTTTTTACAGTGTGCATGGACCAGAAGTCCAATTAAAATAATGGACAATTGCTCCTGCAGCCCTGAACAGGACATGCGAGGTGCGCGGGTCGGCCCGAAACCCGCAGTCAACCCGCGGGTCCCGCGGTTTCGGGCGGGTTGGATGCCTCAAAAATATGAGTCATGTCAGGTGCGGGTGGGTCGGGTCAGAAAGCTCCTGATCCCTATATAATATTATATATGTGAGCCACGGTATGGGAGTCCCTTGAGTACATTTGCAATCGCGCAGGGAGGCTGTTAAACAAAAAAATCATGCTGACAAACAGGATCGCTCCTTCCTGACTCCCCGCTTAAAGCCTCAGAACACTCCAGCCCGAGGACAGACGTGTGATCTACACAGAGGCACCGAGACTGATGACTGTGGGCCTCACAGCAGAGGCCTAAAGCAGGGGCCTCATTACTTTAATACTTACAGTCTGTGGTAAATACACGGGCTACATGTGGTACACGTGCTTAGACTATATTAATATTGTATGTGTAACATTCAAAATAGATTGAGTGAATATTCCCTTTTCCTCATTTAGTGATTTGCGGAGGAGAGGAGAGGAGCAGCGAGAGAAGTTTGGCAGTTGAAATAAATGAATTTCAGCTTGCTAAATTATTTGAAAGCATCTTCATTATGATTGTTATATTTATTATAAATGTTAGAGATGCCAGAGAAAAGGCGTCTGCTTTTTTTCTGAGTGGGAGGCATTTTAAGCGTCCCGCACATCCGCACTGCTCATTTACTCAGCGGTCTTTACTATTAGATCCAGTGTTTTCTCCAGCGCCTGTGTGGTGTAGCGGGATTGTACAAGACTTTCCCGTGGACGTTCGGGGTTCAAGCCCCGGCCAATCCTCAATTTTTTATTAGCGGGGGGAGTATATGAATCAGATTACTCCGTTACTGAATAAAGTTGCATTTTTTTCCTGCAGTTTGGTTGGTGCAGATTGTGAAGTTTACTACCGTCTAGCAACTATTTTAAATGTGTTGGCCTAATTACTAAGTATGTTTTAGAAAACATGTAAACGTCAACAAAATCAAAAGTGTCATAGCCTGGACTTGAACCCGGGTCCTCTCACACCAGAGTCCATCTCCTTATCATTGAGCTATAAAGCTACAGAAAGTTGTCCCGTGAACAGAGAACAAAGACCGATGAGAAGCCAATTTTCCTAACCCTGCTCACAAGTGCCACCTGGTGGTTGTTTGGGTCATTGCAGCATCACTGGGGAAAAAATAAATAAAAGACGCGTGAATCACACGTGAGTCTCGTGTGATTCACGCGTGAAACGCGACAAAACGAAATGGGACCTACTGTACTCCAACTCTTACTCCAACTCTTACTCTTACTCTTACTCCAACTCTTACTCCAACTCTTACACCAACTCTTACTCTTACTCCAACTCTTACTCCAACTCTTACTCTTACACCAACTCTTACTCTTACTCCAACTCTTACTCCAACTCTTACTTCAACTCTTACTCTTACACCAACTCTTACTCTTACTCCAACTCTTACTCCAACTCTTACTCTTTCTCTTACTCCAACTCTTACTCCAACTCTTACTCCAACTCTTACTCCAACTCTTACTCCAACTCTTACTCTTACACCAACTCTTACTCTTACTCCAACTCTTACTCCAACTCTTACTCTTACACCAACTCTTACTCTTACTCCAACTCTTACTCCAACTCTTACTCTTACTCCAACTCTTACTCTTACACCAACTCTTACTCTTACTCCAACTCTTACTCCAACTCTTACTCTTACACCAACTCTTACTCTTACTCCAACTCTTACTCCAACTCTTACTCTTACACCAACTCTTACTCTTACTCCAACTCTTACTCCAACTCTTACTCCAACTCTTACTTTTACTCTTACTCCAACTCTTACTCTTACACCAACTCTTACTCTTACTCCAACTCTTACTCCAACTCTTACTCCAACTCTTACTCTTACTCTTACTCCAACTCTTACTCCAACTCTTACTCCAACTCTTACTCCAACTATTACTCCAACTCTTACTCTTACTCCAACTCTTACTCCAACTCTTACTCTTACTCCAACTCTTACTCCAACTATTACTCCAACTCTTACACTTACTCCAACTTACTCCTACTCCAACTCTTACTCCAACTCTTACTCCAACTCTTACTATTACTCTTACTCCAACTCTTACTCCAACTCTTACTCCAACTCTTACTCTTACACCAACTCTTACTCTTACTCCAACTCTTACTCTTACACCAACTCTTACTCTTACTCCAACTCTTACTCCAACTCTTACTCCAACTCTTACTCTTACTCTTACTCCAACTCTTACCTTACACCAACTCTTACTCTTACTCCAACTCTTACTCCAACTCTTACTCCAACTCTTACTCTTACTCTTACTCCAACTCTTACTCCAACTCTTACTCTTACTCCAACTCTTACTCCAACTATTACTCCAACTCTTACTCTTACTCCAACTCTTACTCCAACTCTTACTCCAACTCTTACTCCAACTCTTACTCTTACTCCAACTCTTACTCCAACTATTACTCCAACTCTTACTCTTACTCCAACTCTTACTCCAACTCTTACTCCAACTCTTACTCCAACTCTTACTCCAACTCTAACTCTTACTCCAACTCTAACTCTTACTCCAACTCTTACTCTTACACCAACTCTTACTCTTACTCCAACTCCAACTCTTACTCTTACTCTTACTCCAACTCTTACTCTTACACCAACTCTTACTCTTACTCCAACTCTTACACCAACTCTTACTCTTACTCCAACTCTTACTCCAACTCTTACTCCAACTCTTACTCTTACTCTTACTCCAACTCTTACTCTTACACCGACTCTTACTCTTACTCCAACTCTTACTCCAACTCTTACTCCAACTCTTACTCTTACTCCAACTCTTACTCTTACTCCAACTCTTACTCTTACTCCAACTCTTACTCCAACTATTACTCCAACTCTTACTCTTACTCCAACTCTTACTCCAACTCTTACTCCAACTCTTACTCCAACTCTTACTCTTACTCCAACTCTTACTCCAACTATTACTCCAACTCTTACTCTTACACCAACTCTTACTCTTACTCCAACTCTTACTCCAACTCTTACGCTTACACCAACTCTTACTCTTACTCCAACTCCAACTCTTACTCTTACTCTTACTCCAACTCTTACTCTTACACCAACTCTTACTCTTACTCCAACTCTTACTCCAACTCTTACTCCAACTCTAACTCTTACTCCAACTCTTACTCTTACTCCAACTCTTACTCCAACTCTTACTTTTACTCCAACTTTTACTCCAACTCTTATACTTACTCCAACTTACTCCTACTCCAACTCTTACTCCAACTCTTACTCCAACTCTTACTCTTACACCAACTCTTACTCTTACTCCAACTCTTACTCCAACTCTTACTCTTACACCAACTCTTACTCTTACTCCAACTCTTACTCCAACTCTTACTCCAACTCTTACTCTTACTCTTACTCCAACTCTTACTCTTACACCAACTCTTACTCTTACTCCAACTCTTACTCCAACTCTTACTCTTACTCTTACTCCAACTCGTACTCTTACACCAACTCTTACTCTTACTCCAACTCTTACTCCAACTCTTACTCTTACTCTTACTCCAACTCTTACTCCAACTCTTACTCAAACTCTTACATTACACCAACTCTTACTCTTACTCCAACTCTTACTCCAACTCTTACACCAACTCTTACTCTTACTCCAACTCTTACTCCAAATCTTACTCCAACTCTTACTCTTACTCTTACTACAAATCTTACTCCAACTCTTACTCCAACTCTTACTCTTACTCCAACTCTTACTCCAACTATTACTCCAACTCTTACTCTTACTCCAACTCTTACTCCAACTCTTACTCCAACTCTTACTCTTACTCCAACTATTACTCCAACTCTTACTCTTACTCCAACTCTTACTCCAACTCTTACTCCAACTCTTACTCCAACTCTAACTCTTACTCCAACTCTAACTCTTACTCCAACTCTTACTCTTACACCAACTCTTACTCTTACTCCAACTCCAACTCTTACTCTTACTCTTACTCCAACTCTTACTCTTACACCAACTCTTACTCTTACTCCAACTCTTACTCCAACTCTTACACCAACTCTTACTCTTACTCTTACTCCAACTCTTACTCCAACTCTTACTCCAACTCTTACTCTTACTCTTACTCCAACTCTTACTCTTACACCGACTCTTACTCTTACTCCAACTCTTACTCCAACTCTTACTCCAACTCTTACTCTTACTCTTACTCCAACTCTTACTCCAACTCTTACTCCAACTCTTACTCTTACTCCAACTCTTACTCCAACTATTACTCCAACTCTTACTCTTACTCCAACTCTTACTCCAACTCTTACTCCAACTCTTACTCTTACTCCAACTCTTACTCCAACTATTACTCCAACTCTTACTCTTACACCAACTCTTACTCTTACTCCAACTCTTACTCCAACTCTTACTCTTACACCAACTCTTACTCTTACTCCAACTCCAACTCTTACTCTTACTCTTACTCCAACTCTTACTCTTACACCAACTCTTTCTCTTACTCCAACTCTTACTCCAACTCTAACTCTTACTCCAACTCTTACTCCAACTCTTACACTTACTCCAACTTACTCCTACTCCAACTCTTACACTTACTCCAACTTACTCCTACTCCAACTCTTACTCCAACTCTTACTCCAACTCTTACTCTTACACCAACTCTTACTCTTACTCCAACTGTTACTCCAACTCTTACTCTTACACCAACTCTTACTCTTACTCCAACTCTTACTCCAACTCTTACTCTTACTCTTACTCCAACTCTTACTCTTACACCAACTCTTACTCTTACTCCAACTCTTACTCCAACTCTTACTCCAACTCTTACTCTTACTCTTACTCCAACTCTTACTCTTACACCAACTCTTACTCTTACTCCAACTCTTACTCCAACTCTTACTCTTACTCTTACTCCAACTCGTACTCTTACACCAACTCTTACTCTTACTCCAACTCTTACTCCAACTCTTACTCCAACTCTTACTCTTACTCTTACTCCAACTCTTACTCCAACTCTTACTCAAACTCTTACATTACACCAACTCTTACTCTTACTCCAACTCTTACTCCAACTCTTACTCCAACTCTTACTCTTACACCAACACTTACTCTTACTCCAACTCTTACTCCAACTCTTACTCCAACTCTTACTCCAACTCTTACTCTTACACCAACTCTCACTCTTACTCCAACTCTTACTCCAACTCTTACTCTTACTCTTACTCCAACTCTTACTCCAACTCTTACTCCAACTCTTACTCCAACTCTTACTCCAACTCTTACACTTACTCCAACTTACTCCTACTCCAACTCTTACTCTTACTCTTACTCCAACTCTTACTCTTACACCAACTCTTACTCTTACTCCAACTCTTACTCCAACTCTTACTCCAACTCTTACTCTTACTCCAACTCTTACTCCAACTCTTACTCCAACTCTTACTCCAACTCTTACTCCAACTCTTACTCCAACTCTTACTCTTACTCTTACTCCAACTCTTACTCTTACACCAACTCTTACTCTTACTCCAACTCTTACTCCAACTCTTACTCTTACTCTTACTCCAACTCGTACTCTTACACCAACTCTTACTCTTACTCCAACTCTTACTCCAACTCTTACTCCAACTCTTACTCTTACTCTTACTCCAACTCTTACTCCAACTCTTACTCAAACTCTTACATTACACCAACTCTTACTCTTACTCCAACTCTTACTCCAACTCTTACACCAACTCTTACTCTTACTCCAACTCTTACTCCAACTCTTACTCCAACTCTTACTCTTACTCTTACTCCAACTCTTACTCCAACTCTTACTCCAACTCTTACTCTTACTCCAACTCTTACTCCAACTATTACTCCAACTCCAACTCTTACTCCAACTCTTACTCCAACTCTTACTCCAACTCTTACTCTTACTCCAACTCTTACTCCAACTATTACTCCAACTCTTACTCTTACTCCAACTCTTACTCCAACTCTTACTCCAACTCTAACTCTTACTCCAACTCTAACTCTTACTCCAACTCTTACTCTTACACCAACTCTTACTCTTACTCCAACTCCAACTCTTACTCTTACTCTTACTCCAACTCTTACTCTTACACCAACTCTTACTCTTACTCCAACTCTTACTCCAACTCTTACACCAACTCTTACTCTTACTCCAACTCTTACTCCAACTCTTACTCCAACTCTTACTCTTACTCTTACTCCAACTCTTACACCGACTCTTACTCTTACTCCAACTCTTACTCCAACTCTTACTCCAACTCTTACTCTTACTCTTACTCCAACTCTTACTCCAACTCTTACTCCAACTCTTACTCTTACTCCAACTCTTACTCCAACTATTACTCCAACTCTTACTCTTACTCCAACTCTTACTCCAACTCTTACTCCAACTCTACTCCAACTCTACCTTACTCCAACTCTTACTCCAACTATTACTCCAACTCTTACTCTTACACCAACTCTTACTCTTACTCCAACTCTTACTCCAACTCTTACTCTTACACCAACTCTTACTCTTACTCCAACTCCAACTCTTACTCTTACTCTTACTCCAACTCTTACTCTTACACCAACTCTTTCTCTTACTCCAACTCTTACTCCAACTCTAACTCTTACTCCAACTCTTACTCCAACTCTTACTTTTACTCCAACTCTTACTCCAACTCTTACACTTACTCCAACTTACTCCTACTCCAACTCTTACTCCAACTCTTACTCCAACTCTTACTCTTACACCAACTCTTACTCTTACTCCAACTCTTACTCCAACTCTTACTCTTACACCAACTCTTACTCTTACTCCAACTCTTACTCCAACTCTTACTCCAACTCTTACTCTTACTCTTACTCCAACTCTTACTCTTACACCAACTCTTACTCTTACTCCAACTCTTACTCCAACTCTTACTCTTACTCTTACTCCAACTCTTACTCTTACCCCAACTATTACTCTTACTCCAACTCTTACTCCAACTCTTACTCTTACTCTTACTCCAACTCGTACTCTTACACCAACTCTTACTCTTACTCCAACTCTTACTCCAACTCTTACTCCAACTCTTACTCTTACTCTTACTCCAACTCTTACTCCAACTCTTACTCAAACTCTTACATTACACCAACTCTTACTCTTACTCCAACTCTTACTCCAACTCTTACTCCAACTCTAACTCTTACACCAACACTTACTCTTACTCCAACTCTTACTCCAACTCTTACTCCAACTCTACTCCAACTCTTACTCCAACTCTACTCTTACACCAACTCTCACTCTTACTCCAACTCTTACTCCAACTCTTACTCTTACTCTTACTCCAACTCTTACTCCAACTCTTACTCCAACTCTTACTCCAACTCTTACTCCAACTCTTACACTTACTCCAACTTACTCCTACTCCACTCTTACTCTTACTCTTACTCCAACTCTTACTCTTACTCCAACTCTCTCACTCTTACCTCCACTTAACCAACTCTTACTCTTACTCCTACTCTTACTCAACTCTTACTCCAACTCTTACTCTTACTCTTACCAACTCTTACTCCAACTCTTACTCCAACTCTTACTCCAACTCTTACTCAACTCTTACTCACCTTACTCCAACTCTTACTCTTACTCCAACTCTTACTCCAACTCTTACTCTTACTCTTACTCCAACTCTTACTCACTCTTACTCTTACTCTTACCCAACTCTTACTCTTACTCCAACTCTTACTCCAACTCTTACTCTTACTCTTACTCCAACTCTTACTCCAACTACTCTTACTCTTACCCAACTCTTACTCACTCTTACTCCAACTCTTACTCCAACTCTTACTCTTACTCTTACTCCAACTCTTACTCCAACTCTTACTCCACTCTTACTCCAACTCTTACTCCAACTCTTACTCCAACTCTTACTCTTACTCCACTCAACTCTTACTCCAACTCTTACTCCAACTCTTACTCCAACTCTTACTCTTACTCCAACTCTTACTCCAACTCTTACTCTTACACCAACTCTTACTCTTACCCAACTCAACTCTTACTCCAACTCTTACCCAACCTTACTCTTACTCTTACTCCAACTCTTACTCTTACCCAACTCTTACTCTTACTCCAACTCTTACTCCAACTCTTTACTCTTACTCTTACTCCAACTCTTACTCTTACACCAACTCTTACTCTTACTCCAACTCTTACTCCAACTCTTACTCTACTCTTACTCCACTCTTACTCCTACTCTTACTCCAACTCTTACTCCAACTCTTACTCCAACTCTACTACTCTTACTACCAACTCTTAACTCTTACTCCAACTCTTACTCCAACTCTTACTTTACACCAACTCTTACTCTTACTCCAACTCTTACTCCAACTCTTACTCCAACTCTTACTCTTACTCCAACTCTTACTCCTACTCTTACTCCAACTCTTACTCCACTCTTACTCCAACTCTTACTACTTCTTACTCCTCTTTACTCTTACTCCAACTCTTACCTACTCAACTCTTACTCCAACTCTTACTCCAACTCTTACTCCAACTCTTACTCTCCAACTCTTACTCTACTCTTACTCCACTCTTACTCAACTCTTACTCTTACTCTTACTCCAACTCTTACTCCAACTCTTACTCCAACTCTTACTCAACTCTTACTCCAACTCTTACTCCAACTCTTACTCCAACTCTTACTCCAACTCTTACTCTTACTCTTACTCCAACTCTTACTCTTACACACTCTTACTCTTACTCCAACTCTTACTCCAACTCTACTCTTACTCTTACTCAACTCTACTCTTACTCCAACTCTTACTCTTACTCACAACTCTTACTCTACCCAACTCTTACTCCAACTCTTACTTACTCTTACTCCAACTCTTACTCTTACTCCAACTCTTACTCTACCAACTCTTACTCCAACTCTTACTCTTACTCTTACTCCAACTCTTACTCAACTCTTACTCCAACTCTTACTCCAACTCTTACTCTTTCCAACTCTACTCCAACTCTTACTCAACCAACTCTTACTCCACTCTACTCTTACCCAACTCTACTCCAACTCTTACTCCAACTCTTACTCCAACTCTTACTCCAACTCTTACTCTCAACTCTTACTCTTACACCAACTCTTAACTCTTACTCCAACTCTTACTCCAACTCTTACTCCAACTCTTACTCTAACTCTTACTCCAACTCTTACTCTTACACCAACTCTTACTCTTACTCCAACTCTTACTTACCACACTCTTACTCCAACTCTTACTCCAACTCTTACTCCAACTCTTACTCCAACTCTTACTCCAACTCTTACTCTTACTCTTACTCCAACTCTTACTCCAACTCTTACTCCAACTCTTACTCCAACTCTTACTCCAACTCTTACTCCAACTCTTACTCCAACTCTTACTCTTACTCCAACTCTCTTACTCCAACTCTTACTCCAACTCTTACTCTTACTCCAACTCTTACTCCAACTCTTACTCCAACTCTTACTCCAACTCTTACTCTTACTCCAACTCTTACTCTTACTCCAACTCTTACTCTTACTCCAACTCTTACTCTTACACCAACTCTTACTCTTACTCCAACTCTTACTCCAACTCTACTCAACTCTTACTCAACTCCAACTCTTACTCTTACTCTTACTCCAACTCTTACTCTTACACCAACTCTTACTCTTACTCC